ACCAGATAGGAGGCAAACAGGCCCAAATCAACCAGGAATGAATTTACTGGACACAATCCAACCAGGCATCTTTCAACCAAGCATGAGCCAACCAGGTAGGAGGCACACAGGCCCAAATCAACCAGGAATGAATCTACTGGACACAATCCAACCAAGCCTGAAACAAGCAGGCATGTGGCAACCAGGCATGAACCAACCAGGTATGAATCTACTGGACACAAGTCAATCAGGCATGTGGCAACCAGGCATGAAGCAAGCAGACACCAGGCAACTATTCCAGGACCAACGAAGCACGTGGCAACCAGATATAAGCCAACAATTCCCAAGCCAACCAGTCATGAACCAAATAGGCACATGGCAACCATACAAAAGCCAACCAGGCACCAGCCAATCAGGAATAAGCCAACCAGATATGAGCCAACCAGGCATGAGCTTTTCAGGCATAAGCCAACTAGGCAGGAGCCAACAAATTTCCGGTCAACCAGGGCCAGTCCAATTAGTCAGGAATCAATCAGGCAGGATCCAGTCAGGTATGAGCAAATTCGAAAAGGCTAAATCACCCACAAGGAAATCAAGCATGAATTCTTTCCGAATAAGACCTGCAGAGGCTCGAGACTGCCCAGAAATTCTGCGGCTGATTAAAGTAAGCCTGTCTCTCCTAATTCCTTGGATCTTCATTGCATTAGTGTAGGGCTGCAAGAGAGCAAGGAAGGCATAGTCGGGGTTTGAGTCCTGGCATGGCTAATTATGACACATCTACAACATTCTGGAAGTCACTAAATCTCTCTAATCTTAATTTTTCAACATATAAAGTCAATATTATATAATAATTTTCTATCAAAAAAGATTGTTGCAATGATTCAATAAGAATATAATTACATGTAAATTACTTGTCATATAGTAAGGGGCTCAAAGAGTCATTGTTAATCTAGAGACTGAACATGTTGCCTCTCCTGGGGGAAATTTTAACATTAAATTTCAGAGAAGATAAAATGCATAAACAAATAAATGACAGGATTTCAGATATTAATAACTAAGATTTTGGTGTAGGTAGTTTTGTTTCTTCTAAGATTATACCTGATTGTAGAATCTGATGATTGAGTTCCTAAAACACAATATTCTCACCCAACAGATTTTCCATACAATTTGAGAAAGTTGATACCAGAAGTCCATCAACACACAGCTCCCAGAATCAAGGAATTGAATTGAAAATTTCTTATGTAAACGTTTATTTTAATGGCTTTTCTTTAAATTATTCCAGTGTAGTAAAGGGAGCAGTCTAATAGCCATAGTTTTGTGCTGAATTTCTGCAGCACTGAATGCAATAGTTTATGTGATGAACAACCAAAACAATTCCATATAAAGATATATAAAAAGCAGCAGCCACGTTTATATTCCCTCTGATTAGAGAGCAATGTTTATATTTCTTTTCACTTATTATTAATTCACAAACTTGTACAAATTAATGGGTTTGACTGTGGCATTTTCATGTATGCATATTTTGCTTTGATTGTATCCACCCCTTCTATTACACACTACTCTTTCTTGTGCTCCCTTTTCTCCCCTCATTCCTTTTCCTCTTTCCTTTTCCTACTACCTAACTACTTTCAGGTCCTTTTTTATAGTTTCTACACATGAGAAGTTGAGAAGAAATGTGACACTTGTCTTTTTGTGTCTGGCCTATTTTGCTTAACATAATGAGCCTCTAATTCCATCAATTTATCTACAAATATAATTCCATTTTTATAGATGACTTTTGTGTGTCTACCATATTTCCTAATGACCAAAATAAATATCCACAGTTTTGTAGTGAAATCCATTTGTTGAAGTGATGTTAGGCCCTGTCATTGGTTAGTAAGAACTTATTTATGTATTTTTCCAAGGTTTCATTATATACTTTCATCCTCACAAGTTTTGACATCATTTCTCTTAAATGGCATTACTCTTCATGGAATAAAAATACTATAACCAACAGGTTAGTTATTCCAGGTAGGATCCACGTTTTTCCACATAGTAGAAAATAGTTTGTGGCTACTGAATCTGACACCTGTTTGGCAATTAATAAATTTATTATTGAATGACAGTGAAGCTCTCTACTTAGACAAAATGCATTTCTTAGTTTCCCAACAATTTTTCATTGCCATTGCTGGATGAAAACACACCACTAGACTCCCCACTGAAATGAACCTGTATCTGTGAAGTTCCTTACTATATTTATATTTTAATTTGCCTCATGTCCTGAAAACACACCAGAAGTTTATTGGGAGTTATTTAATGTGTAGTCACTGTAAAAAATAGAAAAACTAAATGATTTTTATGCATCACAGAAATATGTATAGTAATTAGTTTTGAGCTTTATGTTCTTTATATATGTTTTTCCCTTAACTCCTGCTCATTGTTAAATATGAAAAACATTCTCTTCTTGCAAAGGAGTTTAGAGTTTGCCATCATAGTAATTTCTTTGCTGAATGCATTGTAGGTTTTATTTACTGTACTGCCACAAAAATTCCTCAAAGTATCTTCTGCATGCAACCATTTTAATCTTAACCACATCACAACATTATCTAGGGATCTAGTCAAGTCATCAACAGACAGACATAACTTCTTGCTTACCAGACTTTCCATCTAGAATCTTTTATTGTAGTGGTTTTCAAAGTGTGGTTTTGGTCCATTGGTGTTACATAGATGACTTCTGAGTAGTATTAATATTTCATTTTGTTTATAATACAAATATTGAAGATGATGTACTAAGTGCTTTAAAAGATATAGAGATTATTGAATTACTGTCTCTGCCCTAAAGGAATTTAAAGGGTAATATGGGAGGGATGGATGCAAATAATTATTGAACTCTCTGCCAAGTCCATTCTCCAGATAGAAGCCAAAATGTTCAAAACCCAATTTGGCTTCTGGTTCTATTGAGTACAAAAATCCAAACTTCTTACTAAGGCTCTACATAATCTGGCCTCTTTTTCAGTCAGTTTTTTTCACAGCTGTGACCATAAGACCTGACAAGAACAATTTTAGAAGAGGAAAAGTTTATTTGGAACTCATGGTTTCATAGGTCTAAGTCCATAAATGGCCAACTCTATTACTGTGGGCCACAGGTATGCAAAAACATCTGGCTGAAGGAAGGATTACACTGAGGAAAGCCATCTCAGGATAACACATCAGGAAGCAAAGAGAGAAGGAGAATGCTCTCCAGGGAAAAATATATACCTAAAAGTCATGCCCTCAGAGACCCACCTCCTTCAGCCACACCCTACCTGCATATAGTTACCTCCCAGTTAATCCATTCTTTTTTTTTTTGTGTGTGTGTGTGTGTGGTACTGGGGATTGAACCTAGGTCCTTGTACATTCAAGGCAAGCACTCTACAAACTGAGCTACATCCCCAGCCCCCCAGTTAATCCATTCAAGTGGACTAATGCACTGATTAGGTTAATGTTGTCATAGCTCAATCATTTCACCTTTGAACTTTTTTGCATTGTTTCACATATGAACTTTTCGAGAATACCTAATATCTAAGCCATAACACCTTTGCTATCCTACTTAAGTATATAAGTATATAAACATCCTACTTACATATTTTAAAACCTTTTTCCGTTATAAATTCCACGCAATTCAGTCAACATCCTCAAGTTTACACATGAAAAGAAACCCAAAAGTGAAGAGTAATGAGGATATATAATCCCTACCAGATATTATAAAGCTGTAAGTAATTAAAATACTATGATCTTTGGTGCATAGTTGGATCAGTGGAACCTAATAGAGAAGTCCTCTTTATTAAATATGATAATATGGTATATGATAAAAGGGAGATATCAAGTCAGTGAATAAAAGATGGTTATTCAATGAATGGCATTAGGACAAGTGGGGGAAAAAGATAAAGGTGATATTCTACCTCATTTATTCAGTCTAAAAATATCCATATGGTAGATTTTAGTTTCTTGAGCTATACTATTCCTTTGTGTTTTTTCAAAAGGAAGTCAGCATACTCTATAGAAACATGCATAACCATGTTAATACAGCATAATTCACAATAGTCAAGTTATGGAAATAGACTTGGTGTCCATCAACAGAAAAATGAATAAAAAATGTGAGATACACACAAACTCTCTCTCTCTCACCCACACACACACACATGGAGTGTGTGTGGGAAAAATAAAAGAAAATAAAGGGACATCATGAAAGTAGAAGGAACACCTTTAGCATAGAGAAAGAGGATCAGGCGGAGAGAGGAAGGAAGGGGAATTACTATGAAGTGAAATTTACTAAATAATATTGTATACATGTATCAATATACCTGAATGAAACCCATCATCCTATATAATGAATAAATAATAATAATAATGATATAATTAATAATAAATAATAATAAAGAAAACAAGAGTATCTATTTTTATAACTTCCCAAGCATGAGAAACAAATCATGAAGAAAAGAATTTGAATATACAAAAATGATAATAGCAAATAGCCACATTAAAACATCTAAAGTTGCTGGGCATGTAGCACATGGCTGTAATCCAAGGAAGCTAAGGCAGGAGAATTGTAAGTTTGGAGCTACCCTCAGCAAATTAACAAGGCATTAAGGAAATCAATGAGACCCTGTTCAAGATAAAAAATAAATATAAAGGACTAAGGATGTGGCTTAGTAGTAAAGCACCTCTAGATTCAGTCCATGGTACCAAAAAAAAAAAGTCTAAAGTTAATTTGGAAAAACACCTCATAGGCAAACACATAATCAACTTTTCTGTAAAGTCTACAAGCTAATTTTGTGATCTTTGTGTCACAAAATTGTGACCTTTATGTGTGAGGCATTGACTCTATTATATCTATATCAATCTATCATCTATCTATTCTATCTATGTCTTTATTATTATGTTGCATTGATGTTTTAGATTTTTAGTTTCTAGACAACTGGATTTAAGTTTGAATCACTTTTAACACTTCCCAGGACATCGTGTCCATAAATATTCAATACAAACTCCATGATGATTATTGAATTGAGAATTAATTACTGAATCATAAACTGAAGGTTTTCTCTACTTTGACAGGAGCTGGCTGCCTGTGAAAATATGTTAGATGCAGTGAAGTTAACAGCAATGGGTAAGATGTTTTGTGGTATTTTTAGAGCAAGAAAAGTAAACATGAATGAATGTACACAGGACTATGGAAGATGCTGTCATTGGTAAATAAAAGGATGCCATTAGTAAACTATCCATGCACATGACATAAATTTAATAGTTTTACCAGTGCACCATTTTTAGCATAAGACTGATATTTAACAACACTAACACATTTACAGGTGCAATAGACTTCAACTGGTTTTCAAAACACAGAACAAGAAGAAATATCGGTCAAAAAAAGAATATAATTTAAAAGTCAATATGTTGGAAGGAGCTTCATGCAATGAAATGGACAAAAGCAAAATGATTTAAAATATTTTCAAAGGATTTAACACATTTGATAGCACACAATACTAATGGGATAAGTTAGTGATTTATTATGAATTAGAACTTTAAGATAATAAACAGGAAGATTAAAAGATGATTAAAGTATATAAAATTACAAATGGAAAAGACTAAAGTGTTATTTACTAAACCATAAAAGAGCATAATGAAGGATAACTCCCTGAAGATAAATACTTGAGAATGCATGTAATAACTTGAGAACATTATACCAAGGAGATAATAGGTTTCACCATAATACTGTGTGGCAGATTCAAAAAGATATTTGAATTCAGAAGGATGTTAGAATGGCTTGTGGGAGCTTTTGTGCCATGCCTTAACTAACCAACCTTAAGAGATTTGGTGAAAAATAGAACCCTGAGCTGCATAGATCATGGATGTCATCTCATATGATAATTCTTCTGTTTTTACACTTGCTAATAAACATCATTAGAATGTTAACTAAAGGGTAATTTTGTTGGTTTAAAGGAAACACTAAGAAACACCAAGTTGAAAGTAATGGACACTTATGAAAGCAGTGGTCAAACTAAAACAGTATTACTATGTTTATATATAACACTACTTCATTGTGGTTTGGGAAAATACTGCTTGGTCAGGGTAATGTATAACAGTTCATCATTTTTCGTGGGGGGGTACTAGGAATTGAATCTAGGGGTGCTTAACAACTAACCCACATCCCCAATCCCCCCCCCTTTTTGAGACAGTGTCTCACTAGTTGTTTGGGGCTTCATTAAATCGCTGAAGCTGGCTTTGAATTTGCTATTCTCCTGTATCAGCCTTCCTAGCCACTGGGATCACAGGTATGTGCCACCACAACTAGTTATAAAAGTTAATCTTAAACAAAAGAGCAATAATAAAATACTTTATGTACTACATCTTCCAGTCTTAGGATTCAGTATTCCTTTGAATGGCAGTTATTTTATAATATCCTCAGTCCTTTTTTTTTTTTAAAAAAATCTTAGTCCTTGTGTTTTTATAGATGCTGGTAAAATACTTGATATTTACTATAAAATTTTGTAAAATGTAGTTAAATATATGCAAATTATCTTTTTACCATTCCTAGATGTACAATTCCTGGTATTAAATATATTCATAATGTTGCACAACTATTATGGCTATTCATCTCCAGCATTTGTCAAACTGAAAATCTTTAACCATGAAAACTTTCTATTGCTGTTATCCTTCCCCTCTAACCTCTTGTAGCTTCTAATCTATTTTTTGTCTCTATTAATTTGCCTCATCTAGGTGCTCCCATACAACTGGAAGCATATAACATTTGTCTTTATATGTGAGGATTATTTCAGTTAGCATAATGTTTTCAATTTTCATCAAGTTGTAGTCTGTATAAGAATTTCATTCCATTTTAAGACTGAATAACACTCCATTGTCTGTATAAACCACATTTTGTTATCATTTGGGTTGTTTCCACCTTTTGACTATTGTGAATAATGTTGCCATGAAACACTGATTCACAGTGTTTCAATCAATTGACTAGATATATGTTTATTTTGGGGCTTCATAGTCTGTTCTCTTTGTCTCTCTGTCCTTTTGCAAGTACTATCTGGGCTCCTGCTGTCAATTTATTTGGGAATATACATAGCTAGAAGTATCATTTCTGGATCATGTGGTAACTCTTTTTTTTTTTTGAGGGACCTTCAAAATGTTTTCCACAGTAGCTGCACCATTTTATATTCCCATCAGCAACACACAGGGTTTCAAATTCTCCACATACTCACCAACACTTAATTTATTTTTTTTCTGGTTTTGTTTTGTTTTAGGATAATGATCATTCTAATGGGTACAAAGTGATATCTCATTGTGCTTTTGGTTTGTGATGTGCTCTTTTATGAGAGCAAGCGTCTTGGCATGTGCTCATTGTTCCTTTGATATCTTCTTTGAGAAATGTCTATTCATGTCTTTTACTCATTTTTGAATTGTGTTGCATGAATTCCTAAATATATTCTTGATATTCCTCTTTATAAAATTTCCAAATATTTTCTTCCATTTTGTGATTTTTACCTCCTTTGATATTATCCTATCATACACAATTTTTTTAATTTTATGATGGCCAAATTGTCTATTTTGTTGTTGTTGCCTTGTGCTTTTGATATCATAGCTAAGAAATCATTGCTAGATTCAATGTCTTGATGATCTTCCTTGATTTAGTAAACTGTAGTTTAAAATATATGTAAATTATTCCAAAATTTTTATAGTTTTAGCACTTACATTGAGGTTTTGATACATTTCAAATGAAATTTTGTACATGGCATGAAGTAACTGATCAACTTTGCTATTTTGCATATAAATATGCAGCTTCCCCAGCACCATTTGTTGAAGACAGTCCTACCCTTAATGAGTGATCTTGGCATCTTCTCAGAAATCAATTGACCAGTGCTGGGAGTGTGATTCAGTGGTAGAGTGCTTGCCTAGCAGGTGTGAGGCACAGGTTTCAATCCTCAGCACCACAAACAAATAAACAAATAAAAAATTAAAAAATAAATCAATTGACCAGATCATGTGTTTATTTGGGGCTGTATAATCTGTTACATTTGCCTATCTGTTCTTTTGTAAGTGCTATAACTTTTTAGAAAATTTCAAAGTCAGGAATGGTGAATCTTCCAATGTGCTTTAGTTTTAAAAGTTGTTTTGGCTATTTGGGGCACTCTATGCAAAAGAATTTTGCAGTTTTGAGAGACTGTGTTGAATACATAAATCACTTTAACTAATATTGACCTAACAATGTTAAGTACTCTATCCATAAATATGAGCTGCCTTCAATTAGGTCTTCTTTAATTTCTTTCACTAAAAATTATAGTTTTCAGTGTAATCTCTACCTTATCCACAGTCAATATGTTTCAAGACTCTCAATATGATGCCTGAAACAATAGATAATACAAAATCCTAGATATACTGTTTTTCCTTTTTACATATGTATGATGAAGTTTAGTTTATAAATTAGGCATAGTAAAAGATTAACAATAATAAAGTAATAATAATAACACTTGGTTTGTATTCTAATATATGGCATATCCTGGAGAAGTTCAATCTACACTTGAAAAAATTATAATGATGCTGTTTATAGGTAGAGCATTCTTTATGTCTGCTAGTTTCAATAAGTTTATGGTGTTTTCATGTCCTCTATTGCCTTATTCAACTTGTTTGTTTTATACATTATTGAAAATGGGGGTATTGAAGCCCCCAACTTTTATATTACTGTATATATCCTCCTTCAGTTCTGTCAATGTTTTCTTCATATATTTTGAAGCTGTAATATTTGTTGTATGTTTATAATTGCTATGTATACTTGGTGAATTGACCCCTTTATTTTTACTTAATATCCTTGCCTCTTACAGATATTTTTTGTTTTTGTTTTGGTACTGGTGACTGAACCTGGAGTGATCAACCACTGGCTACATCCCCAGCCCTTTTCATTTTCTTTTAAATATTTTGAGACAGGGTCTTGCTAAGTTACTGGGGCTGGCTATGAACTTGGGATTTTCCTGCCTCATCCCTCTAACTTGCTGGGATTACAGGTGTGTGCCACCATGCCTGGCCTCTGAAAATAATTTTGGACTTAAACTCTATTTTGCCTGATGCTAATATAGCCACCCCAGCTCTTTTGGTTATTTACACAAAATTATCTTTTTCCATTATTCCATTTTCAACTGATTTTTTTGCTTTAATATGTAATTTCTGGTGAGTTTATTTTAAAACCTGGAAAGCCTAGAAATGAAAATACGTTTACAATTCTATCTGTACACATTTGACAAAGACAGAATGGGAAAGTACCTGGGAATAAAATGTCTACATAATATATCAAAGTTAACATAAGTTTTTATGGCTTTATTCATTTCATATGCCTACTAACATAGCTTCCTATCTCATTCTATTGGTGGTTTGAGACTTGCATTTTCAACCTATTTTTATCTTTGAATCTAATATTCGTTACTTGTAGATAACTAACATATAGTTAGATCATGTCTTTTAAAAATTTTATTCATTTTGCTAATCTTTGTGTTTTCATTGGAGTATTTTATCCTTTTACATTTTAAGTAATTACTGAGGGCATGGAGTATAACTCAGTGGTATAGTGCTTGCTTAGCATGAGTGAGGCCCAGGCTTGATCCCTAACACTGTAAAAATTAAGAAAAGACAACTGATAAGATTGTCTTCTGTCAATTGTTTACATGCCAAAAGTTATATAGCTATTTCTTATTTCTCATTTACCTTTGTATTTAATTAATATTTTTAGTGAAGCACTTTGATTCTAAGGATTTGCTTGTTTCTTGATTGCTGTAGGCTGTCCCTGTCAGGGATCAGCCTGAGTTGAAAATTTATTATGATCTTAGGTTTTGTTCAAGCACATCTTTCCCTAGTCACTCATGATGGCTTTCTAAATTCCCCTTTGTGTTTTGTTTTCAATGTCCAACAAAACAGGTATTACTCTTTTAAATTTCCTGTAAACCACTTCAGATCATGGGGGCTAGAACAATGGCAACCAACCTTAAGTCCTCACCTAAGTGGTCAGAGTGGCAGCCCAGAGTTAGAACATAAAACATCAGGGCTGGGGTTGTAGCTTAGTGGTGAGGCACTTTCCTGGCATGTGTGAGGCAATGCATTCGATTCTCACACTTATAAATAAAATATAATAAATTTCCATCAACAACTAAAAATTTAAAAAAATAGAATGGAATGCTTCTTTTTTTAAACAAAAGAACATAAAACATCTATATTTTTTTTTAAATGAAAACACTGGCCACCCACCCTACAGCAATCTGCTCCATAAATATAGGTTGCCCGCCCCACAGCTGCCTGCCATGGGATGGGACAGGAGTAGTGAAGGCCAGGCAGCTGCCACCATACTGAAGGCTGAATTCCCCCTAAATTAACTGCAGTTTACCATTCAGGCTGTCTCTTAGCAGCTGAAAGTGTTCAAATAATCTCCAGAGCTCCAAAATATTCACATCACAATTTCCATCCCGATGAAAAGTCAAATTCCTGGAGCTTTTTATTCCCCCCCTCAGCTATAACCTTTCTTTGTATGTAAATTGATATTTCAGATTTACTGAGAGATGGCTTTGGGGAGAATCCCCTTTTCTACTGTCTGATTGCTGAAGTAAAAAACCATCAAAAACCATCAGGTAAAGTATATCGTCCTTTTCTAATTTTACCTGAAGCATATTTTCTATGTTCTGAAAACAAAGTACAATTACATAGCCCATACTACTACACCATTAATAAGTATATATGTATAAACCTATTTTATGTTTTAAAAAAGAAAACATATGCTATGTACACGTTTGCATAGCTATTTAAAATTTTGGAAGAACATGCAAACTATATAAAAGAGTGCTTATCTCTTAAAGATTATTATTGTAGGTGAATTAAACTTTCTGTATTATACATTTATATACTGTTTGATATTTTATCCCATAAGCATCTATTACTTTAATAGTTAAAACAAACACCAAAATATTCTATTTTGGGGAAAAGATATTTCTTTTTTATTGATTTTTTAAAAAAAATAAATGACAGCAGAATGCATTACAATTCTAATTACATGCATGCAGCACAATTTTTCATATCTTTGGTTGTATATAAAGTATATTCACACCAATTCATGTCTTCATACATGCACTTTGGATAATGATGTCCATCATATTCCACCATACTTGCTAATCCCCTGTTCCCTCCCTTACCCTCCCTCCCCTCTGCCCTATCTAGAGTTCATCTATTCTTCCCATGCTCCCCACCTATCCCACTATGAGTCTAAAATTCAAAGCATTAACCTGTTAGTGACTCCTCTTCTCTCTTTTTAGGTAAAATGGCCGTTGGATTTGCCATGTACTACTTCACGTACGACCCCTGGATTGGCAAGTTACTTTACCTAGAGGATTTTTATGTCATCCAAGAATACCGAGGTAAAACTAGGATTATGTTACTTAAAAATAATTTAGAAACTAAAAAGGCATATATTAATTTGTGGAACAGAGACAGGATTTAGTATAAATATGCTGGCTTTGCTATGCAACTCATCTCTATTTCATGAGCCTGATCACTATGCTAGTGCAGTTAAGATTCAATCACAAATTAGAAAACCATTTTATTAGTGTGTATTAATGTTTTAATAAGCCATGTTATCATAGCTATGCTTTTATTTTAAAAAATGCTTTAAATTTTAGGTTGGTTTTTAATATTCATAGATTAGAAAAATGGCATGTTATAAAACAATAGTGGCAGAGTCCTATTATAAGACAATAGTGACAGAGACTTGTTTCCTTCTTCACTGATCTTTAAAATAAACCCAAACTATTTTCTATTGTTTTTGGTACTACATTCCAATTAGGAAAAAAGGACATGTGTTTATGAGTTGAGTTTTAACATACACTCTTAAGAATATATCACAACCTGATACAGGGTTTTATATTCTATTCTTTTTAAACTAAAGCAAATAACAAGGTAAGTGGAATTTTTCATCTTATGGTTTTCTTTTGGCATTATCTATTTAACAGGCCTAGGTATTGGAGCTCAAATGCTGAAGAGGTTAAGTCAGGTATGTATTATAATTTGTACTGATGTTCTATACATTATTCTGTTCTTCTTCAAATATTACTCAACAGGGCATAAATTAGGAAATTTAAGTTCACTACTTAAACATAAACCTAATGTGCTTCACATTTTTATCTAAATTAAACTGGATTTTCAAATCAAATACTCATAAGTTACATGAGTTATATTTAATTAAAATTGATTTCTGTGTAATCCACAAATACACTATATACCTTTTTTTGTAATCAAGTAGAAGTAATCAAGATGGAGATTAGATGGCAACTTTATTCACAAAATAGGTCTGCAATGTGAATGACAACAATGTAAAACAAATAACCTTTTTCATTTTGGAAATATATATGAGAACATGTGTGCTGTTATGTAACTTTATCTGTAGAATAAAGACTTTGCAATCAAATTTGGGCTTTTAAAGAGAGGGGTCTTAATACTTAGAAAAGTGGAACTTCTTTTTCTTTTTATAGCTATAGAGAAATCCAAAAGATAATGATTGTATTCTTATTTCCAAATATTATGCACATATAATGTTTTTCATATAGAACTTCAATGAAACAATTGTGTTAATTAAGACTATATTTTAAATAAAAGTAATCTTTGTTTATTGTTTTTAAACAGATAGCCATCATGAGTCAATGTAACTGCATGCACTTTCTTGTTGTCATTTGGAACCAGGCTTCTATTGAGTACTACACAAGTCGAGGGGCTTTAGACCTTTCCTCTGAGGAGGGGTGGCATTTGTTCAGGTTTAACAGAGAAGAACTCATGGACATGGCGGAGGAAGAATGAAAGAGGCCTCATAACAACTCATTCCAACATAGGCTCCAACATCTGAATGTCACCTGAGTCGAACAGCAGTTTGACACTGAATGTTGTAAAATACAACAAATGATAATATTCTTGTTTGAGCAGATCTTTTACTTTGAAATAGATTTTGCAGATATAGTTAGCTCTGCCTTATCCAAACTAATATACTAATGGATAGAAGCAGTGCTGATAATCCAAATGAAAAGTAATTTCACAAGCACTTATACTTGGCTTTGGCCTGTTTATCAATTACCTACTATAGTTCGACAAATTTATAATGCCAATTCTTTCACATTTTAACATACTTGAAATTGGGATAGCATTATGATCAACTGGCAAGTTTGTTTTTCTTTTTAAAGGTCTATGATGTGTTTTATATTTGATGAAATATAGGTACTTTTGAATAGAAACAGATCTCAGATTAAAATAGTCATTTCACATACTGGTCCTAAATCCTGAAGCACTTACTTATGAAAAACTAGCAAATGAATTGAATCTTTAATTTGAGAAGCTTTAAGCTTTTAGCACCACTACTTCCTTCATATTATCACAGAACTATATTCCATCTCTGAGCATCTATAGCTCTTTGGTTGTACATATTAGGGCAGATACCTTATATAACATGGTTATTTGTATGTTTATTTCTTTCATGGTAGAGTAAGCGCTTTACTAAATTATAATTATTGTTATCCTGTAACCAGAAACAAACAGCATGGCAGCACATGAGAGTTCTATGTATTAGGCATTTCATGGGCACAGAAGAATAATTCAGCCACACACACAAGAATCCTTGTCCATGAGAAAATACTAATTATAATAAATATGATGGGCTATTATATTTATAAATACCAAGTACAAAGGAATGCAGAAAAAGAACATTGAAATCCTACCTTGGAGAATTGAGAAAGAGGACACTGGAATTGGATTTGGAGGATGGGTACAGAGTTAGAATGTGGAGCAAGATGAAACAGAAGAGCATTCTAAGAGGAAACATTCACAAAGGCAGAAAATACAGAGGAATAAGTTACAAGTCATGTTCATCAAGCAAGTGGTTGTCATGAATACAATAGAACATATATTAGTATTATGGTAAATAGTGAGAAGGAAGATAGGATGGTTACTAATGAGCTATTGTACCAATTCTATAATTGCCTAATTCCAGGCTTTAAATAGGTATTTGTTTAAGCTACTACTAGCTTGTTAACTTGCAAGCAGAACAGATTAACAGTGAGCATATAAACCAGGAACCTACTCTGATAACCCAAGAAAGCAATGATGAAGACCTGAATAGCAGCAATAATAGGATTAGAAAATACAAAGGTAGAACAAATTTGATAAATAAGAAATAAGCAAAAGGAGACAGACACAATTTACTTTTAGGTATACTGACACTGAGATATCTATGGGATGTTAGGTGAACATAACTAAAAAATTATTTGAAATATAGGTCTACAAACTAATAAATAATTAGAAATTATAGGTCTACAACACTGGAGAAATATGAGGGCTAAACATATGAATGAAGCCAGGGAAATTGGTTGAATGAAAATGAGAGGGCATATAGAATGAGAAAAGCTCAGAAGGGATGCAGATTGAGAAGCCTTAACATTTGTAGAAAAAATTGAAAGTAGGGAATTTAGAAAGGGACATTAATTACTCATTAAACAAGTATGGAAATCACAGAAAGGAGCTCAAGAGAAGAAAGCTTGAGAGAAAAGATAGAGTTAAGAAAAGGTGTTTGACCTTGGTAATTGTTGCTTTTGGATAAAGAAGAGCTAAAGACTTTTAGAGGTTGAGGAAAAGAAATAAGAGGAAAGAAAAACCAAAGACTGACAATTCAACAGAATGGCATATCATTCTAGTTAAAGACATGAAGGAATGAGATTAGGGATACCAATAGTAGCATCAGTTTTAGGAAAGGGGGATTCGCGGCTGAAAAGGATTAAGTCTACAAGGTAGATATGAAGTAGTTGGGAATGGTTATGTCTAATATATTTTATGCTCTATGAAACAGGAAAAGCAGTCAACTTTAATAGGTATAAGAGGCTTGAGAAGAATAAAATGTTTTTAATACTTCTCAAGAACAGAGAAGTAAACTGCATAGGGGCCAGTGGAAGAACTGCTAAGTAGCATTAGGGGGGCCCATGAAGGACATGGTCCTTTTAAACAGAGATGTTTTCAGATATTTAAAGGGATTTAGCCTCAATAAAACAAAAAGAAAAAGCCAAACAAATGTGCCATAAAATATGGATATTTTATTCCATGTCTCAGAAATGAAAAAGAGAGGAAGAACACATCCTTCTACACACCATTCTAATTTAACTGGCATTATATATGCACATATTTTCAGATTTTAGTCTCATTGGTAATCATACCTTCACTGTGGTTTGCTTTCTAATAAAAGCCCTTATAAGTCATCAAATGCATCCTCATACTTCTGGGTTGTTTCATTCAGTCATTTAATATTGTTTTAATTTCATTTAGATTTTGAGCTTTAATCATTTATATGATTGGTCAAACTGTACATTTTAAGATGTCAAGGAAAAACTGAATTAAAGTTATACTCTACACATCGGTTACCCATTATATGATTTTTTTTCCATCATTATTTGCAACTTCACACATCTTGTAGTTCTCTATGCAGTCTCTTTATGCAGTCTATTTCAGCTTCTAGTGCTGTACATATCTACATCTTCCGGATGAGACTGCCCATGATCCATAAGCCTGGGGTCAGGTATAAATTGTGTAGCACCTGATGAATATTAAAATGAAAAAAATAGTCATTTACAAAATTAATTTTGGGGACTGTGAACATAGTAATGAACAATACAGATAAAAATCTCTACTGACATGGATATAACATTCAAGTTGAGTGAAACAGACAATAACTTATATAAAGCATATATCATGGTGGTGAGTGCTATGCAGAAAAATAAAGCAGGGAGAAACATGGAATATCTGGGTGATTTGAAATTTTATAGGTTGGCTAGTGAAAGTCTTCAGAAAAAGCCAAAAACTCAGGATGTGTGCCATGACTTTATCTGCAGAAATATTTTCCAGGATGAGCTGACAGCAAACATAATGGACCCAAAACATGTCTGAGGAACTAAGACAGGTAGACCAGTAGAAAAGATTGTGTGTGTGTGTGTGTGTGTGTGTGTGTGTGTGTGTGTAGGGGACCCTGATTGAAAGGAGACATGATCAGGCTGGGTCACAAAGAGCCATGGTAAGGATTTTACCTTTCATTTTAAATGAGATGAAAAACTAGAGGACAATTTTAAGCAAAGGAGTGACACAGTCTTATGTTTTTAACAAGATCACTTTCAGCTAGAGAAAAGAGACCATGGGGAAAAAGGGTACAGGGAAGGAGATCAGTCAGGAAGCAAATGCAGTGCTCCAGGAAAAAATGCTGAGGTCTTTAAATAGGGTGATAGCAATGGAGGTGGTGAAAGAAATTAGATTCTAGAGATAGAATGGACAAAGTTTCCCAAATGGATTGAATATATTATGTGAGAGAGGCTTATTTATCTTGAGAAACTGGAAGAATGGAATTCACATTTACTGAAATAGGGAAAAGTGTGAGGGAAGCAGGTTTGAAGGAAAGCTAATGAAATGTATTCTTAGATGTGTTAAACTTGATTTCTCTTACTAAACATCTGAGTAAAAATGTTGTATAGGCAGATTGACCTATGTATCTATTGAGTTCAAAGGAGGGCTTGACTGGCTTATAAATTTTATAGTCATATCCTATATACAGCATTTAAAACTATGGGACTGCATGAGATCATCCATAATCAGAGAAGTTCAAGGCAGGATCCCTTTGGATACTCCAGCTTTTTAAGGTTAAGAAAATTAGGAGAATGTCACAGAGAAGACTGAAAGAAAAGCTAGTCAGTGAGGTAAGAGAACCAATAGTAAATGATATCCCACAGGCCAAATGAAGAGAATATTTTAAGGTTGAGGGAGTATAACCTGAATAAATGTTATTGATATATTGCATTAGTTGGAGCCAGAACTCCTGGATTTGACAATATGTGGATCAACAGTGATTATAACAAGCTTATCATGTACTATGCAAAATGCTAAGTTATTTTCATGCACTGTCTCATAAAATCATCATGAGGTGGATTAAGTAGGACAATGGGTACAGAGCATTGCATATAATACCCTGGGCATAGTAATTACATAATGTTTCTTCTGAGCACTGTTTTATTTAAAGGAATTTTTTTCCAAAATGTTATTTGTTTTAAAATTATTTTATTACATTTGGGAATCACACATTGTTTTCTATAGAATAATTAAATTTCAGTTTTATAACAAAAACAAAGGGGAGAAACATATTTGAATACATTGATTTCTCTTACTTTCACCTTTTTAGGAATGTTTTCTATTTTATAATGTGAGAAACATGATAACTTCATCATCAAATATATTCAAAAAATAACCGATAATATGTAACCATTATCCATAATAGTAATACAGTTCTCTGTAGATCAGGAATTCTTAATGTGGTGTCCCTTTGGAGAGTGTATGTTAGGACTCACGTGATCTATTAAATGGCATGGGGAAAATTTTTATTTATGTTCACTGATGTCTGAAAATAGATATTTTCTTCTTCAATAATGAACATATACTTAAAAAAAAACCATGATAGCATTAGCAGTGCCTTGCATTTTGTCACCAATAAAAATCACAGATGTTTTCATATCACATTAAAGTTGCAGATCATCTAAGAAATCTTCACACAACTACTTGAAAATTGTGGTACTACTGAACCTATTATTAGATATTGTTCAATCTATTTTAAAAAGATCACATATTACTGTATATTTTACGTATTCTATTATTTCATTTGAAAACATTTTGAGAAGAAATTTCAGCACATAAATGGTTAAGAACCTGCTAAAAAGACTTTCTCAAATATCCTTACTGCCACCTTGTGGAAATTATTGCTCAGTTCAAGAAAATAGTGAGATGAAATAATTTTCTCCTTTCTCAAGCTAACATACTATCAGTAGGCATATGACAATATTGTGTCTTTATGTGTCGAATCTGCTTACTAATATCCATAAATCAACTAAGTCCTCTAGCA